AACAAGAAAAACATCTCTTACAGCAACGGCATGATCATAACCTCGTCTACCTAGGGACGACATTATGGACAAAAAAGAAGAGAGTAAACTTTCTCAGCCTTTCGGCTAAAAATAGATCAGGAGCGATGCATGCGTTCTGATAAGTCTAATATCTGATCCGTGGACCATGGGTCCACATGATATTAAATTAAATTTTCAGGGCCACGGAGTCTGAACGGGTCACGGGTAGGCTTGCCTGCTCGACCCTTCCAGCGTTGCCTTCGTGCTGCACTGTAGCGAGGCCTGGCACAGCCCACTTATCCCCCAAGTGGTAGAGGAAAAAAATCAAAAAAATAAAAATAAAATAATAAAAAAAGGTCACACTCGTTTTCAGAGGGACAGTGAGAGGTGCCAGATGACATATCAGATGGATGCGTATACTTCGATTCTCGTATTCAAACCCGCCGATCTGACCGATCACCGACARAGCAGAGAGTTTGTACATACCTTGTACACACAAAGATCGGCGGCAAGAAATGAGCACTCCTCCTGAAACCGGTTGAGCATACCCAAAACATCGAGTCGGAGGAAAATAAATGAACATGAATCAAGAAGAAGAGTGACTTGCACGTGAGATACCGAGATTGCCATTTCCCTCAAGGCTCAAACAAAGAAAAAAAACAATATCCGTCATGCTCGACACTGTTTTATCACAGGCACATATTTTCTTATGTTCTTTTTTTGCCGGTAAGCTTAAAAATATTCAAAGAATTAAATTTACTCTGATATTGTCACGATCAACGACTGTTCCGTGACCRTCTCGATCAGATTCCATTGCACATTGTCACCACTCCTCGAGCAGATTTCGCGGAAGAAAAAAATCTCCCTCGAGAATACTAGTTTCTTGTCAAGTCTAAAAAGATGATCCAGAAGGAAAAAATTCCGAAAAAAAAAAARAAGGAAAAAAAGACAAGGATATAATATATATGTTCCCACAAAAACTGCTGCAAGAGGAGGCAACATTTCCCTCCCTTCGGTTTCTTTTTTCTTTTCCTTTCCTTCTAGACTAGCGAAAAAAAACAGCCGGAACACGGAAGAAAAATAGAGAGAAACCTATCGAAGAGTAATCAGC